TGTGAGAGAAAGGTATTGACTGCTTGTGTTAGCAACAGGAGAGAAGGGAAAAATTAGAATTAACCTTTGAATTGGAGGGTGCCATCTCCTCCAAACATTCCTGTTCCCAGGGAACGAAACAAACCAACAAATCTGCCAGGATCCTTGTTCTGTCTACTGTGGAAATAAAGGTAACAGATATGCCCCATCCTGCTCACACATAATAATTTGTGCTGGACACCAGATTTAGTTCACAACGCCCTGGCACGTGCTTGGATTCAGATGGACCGGACTTTTAATGGTGATAGAATGAAAGGGAGGTTAAAAAAAGATTAAGAAGGGGGAAAACAACAATTACTCAAATCCTACCTTACCTTGAATAATACTGAATATTTACTATTTTTTTCGCCTGACAATTAATTTTAAAAAGATAAGTATTACAAGAGCAGAAAGGAAGAATAAAATTTATTTGAAAAATATGGGCTCTTAATTAGGAGCTTGCTGAAGTCAGGGAAGGACTTCCAATGGCTTTAATGGGCTTTGGCTCAAGCCCTTATAGTGTAGCAAAGAAACCAATATAAACTGAAAGGGGATTTATATCCCTACTATAAATAATGTATGTAATCTCAATTACTGGAGAGAGCATTTGTATATATGTAATTTATCATTATTAAAGTGAGATTATGGCAGCTTTATGTGAAACAGAGGCAAATCTGGGTCATTAATGAAAACAGTTCATTTACATTAGCCACTATAACTACTCAGGCGCTTTCATTCTTCATGTTTAAAATCTCAATCTTGCCCCCCTGTGGCCCATAGGAATATAGCACACGTGCATAGTATAAATTCGTCTGAAACTAGACTGAAAATTATAAGTAAAGAGCATATATAATCCTTTTTGTTTTGTCATTTTTCCTTCAAATTTGAAATACAAATGTCAAATAGTCAAGGCACAAATAAAACCTAGAGGGACATTTGCTCTTCAACCTATGCTTACTATTAGCACTTGCTAAAACTGACAGCACCGAAGAAACAAACTTGAAAGACTTTTGCATCATGTTTCACTCATTCCCTCTCGCTAAAGATATTTACATAGGCAACAGAAGGCAGCTGTTCATGCAGGATGATCATGGATACAGTTGAGCTCAATTACTTTAGTTTCAGTGGCCATCTCAGTTATTATTTGTAAAAATGGGCTTTGTCCAGCAGACCTACCCATAACTCTGCCCTGGGAGGTAAGTTTGGCCCAGCAGCTTGGGACAGAGTTCTACAGCCACACTGATCTGTTCCCGCTGTCAAGGAGCAAAATGAAATTTGAAAATAAAACAGCTTCAGATATCTATATGGCCTTTAAGATAGAAAATAGCTACTTTGATGTATTAGCAAATGCTCATCCATCATCATTACCACCATCATCAAAATGATGATGACCAGGGCTCTGGACGGCAATGCAAATCCATGGCTACAGACCTTAAAAGACAATTCCAAAGAAAATAACACTCTCTCACTTAAACAAACTGGCAAGTAAGATGCTTAGAGGTAATATCCCGAAAGTAGACAATCATATTATAAATGACTACACCAATAATTTTAGCAAAAAAATACCCCACTCCATCTATGTAACTGGGGAAACAAAACCAACCGCTTGTAATATACTATCCCTTTAAAGAATAATTTGATCATATAATAAGGTTTGTCTGATCTCTCTCACTTCAGTACTCTCTGCCTTCTCTGAGAAAAAGAATTTCTCTTCAGACTAATCCATGCAGGTTTAGTAAAGAGAGCTTCCAACCTGGTCCACTGTGTCCCTCAGAAAAATGTTCCACAGGATTGCCAGATTCTTTACCATCAGGAACAAGAGAACCAGCCGTTAATTTTAAAAAGCTCATGTCTTCAGCTGCAGACATGTACACAGCCTGACTGGGCTCACTCTATTTCTTCTTACAGCAGCTGGATGCAGTCACCAAACATTACATTTTGTATTTGTCACTGTATTATTTCCAAGAAAGAATTCTTCCTTCCTAACAACTTCTTACTACTAATTTGACGTATTTATTATTCGGAAAGATGTAAACTACAGCCCCTTATTTTATCAATTAAATAGGCAAAGCAACAGTGCAAACTTCTAAGCTCCCCATTTGCCTTCTCTTTCTCTGAGATGTTAACCAAACTGGTTCACTCTCAGCAGCCATCTGATCCTTTTGCTCTCCTGAAACTACCAACAAAAAGGAAATTAATGCCAACTGTGGAGGTGATTTTGTATTGACACTTTTCCAATAGAATCCAGACTTAGACCACCAATGTGTTTCACAGGGGACATCCACCCGTCATCAGATGGTTGTAATTTTCCAACAGCAACTATCCTGGGGTGCATTCAAAATAGTAACAAATGCTAAGAAAGATTTTTTATTTCATCATCAATTTTTACACTGCTGATTCTTCAAGCTGGTGTTGTATTTTTAAGTACACCAATACCAAAAAATCCTATTTAAATTTGTTACTTCAGTACAAATATAAACCATAAATAAAATATAATCAACCTATCCAATACAAATTGATATTATTTTATAAATTATGTTAACCTGCTATACTTCTATCTACAGTATAGTTAGTCAATATTTCCTTTCATCCCACCAGCTAAAAGGCTAATCCTCACAGCAGCTGTTACTACTCCAGTACAGAATGAATGTGAATTTAACCTCTCCTGGATATAGCCTAATAAATTCTGTTGTTTTTCTAAGCACTTCTGTGAATTAAAATGGACGTTGGCTTGCCATCCAAATTCATGAACAGGTCTGAAGTGGCTTTTAGGCAAGTTGCCAAATAACTTCCCAATTCCCTTATAGGGTATAGCTCTCGCTTCGGAGGTCTTCCAAGCAAGAACTGAAAAACAACATCTTCTCCATTTCCTCAAAATTATTTTTCATTTTCTTACCATTAAAGAAATTATGCACAAAATTACATTAAAATACTATTAAGGGTTCATTTGCACTCTTCAATTCTCAGTGATTTCAACTTAATCGTACCAATACAAATATGAAAAGAATATGCCCTCCTGCAACCTTTCTGACAATGCAAAGAACAGGATTTTGAAAAGCTTGAATATAAAATTCAACCCAGCACATGTGTTTGGATATTGAATAAGGCTGAAGAAAATAGGAATACTCCCCAGTACAATGAAGATCTATTATTAAAATGAATATATCTTTCAGCTGATGCTTAACTTTACTCTAAAGAAAACCAATATAAACTATGAAGTCTTCTTTTCTCCAAGACTTCAATCTCCATTTTCAAAAGTAACATAATTTAGACTTTGATTTGGCAAAGCAATGAACAACCCACCAAACTTTAAAACAATTGGAAATCTACAGAATTTAAGCACATTACTTGTGTTTCCATATCTTCCCTCCTAGAGACGAAACATGTCCTGTTTCGACAGGAAGTCATCAGCCAGCTTCTATCAATGTGTGGCTTTGAACATCTTAAAATTCAAAGCATTCAAGGCCTCCGTACAGAGACTTGCCTGCTGATAATAGGTTTTCTTTCTGTTTCACACCCCCATAACCACAGGCTGTAAGACTGAAATTCACAATAGAAGATACAGACCAGCTAGAGAAAAATAAACTTCAAGTAACAATAAACTTTCAACCCCTTGAAATAGACTCAGTTACAAGAAGTCAGTTATTGTTCTAATGAAATAACATACCCGTTTCAACTGCACACCCCCTCTTCACAGCCATTCGATCTGATCTGCTGTATCTATTGGATATAAAATTTAATTTTGGTTTTATGCTTGAATACAGTTATTTATTTTCCCTCCTTTACAAAAACGCTAAAGCTTTCTGAAGATGAGAACACTAGACTCCTCACCACCAGCGGCAGCAACCCTTTTGCCAGGCTGAGGAAGCCAGTGCGCTATACAGGCACAGGTACTGCTGAGGCAGGAGTTTCAGGCATGAATACTTGCTCTGTCCTTTGCAGTTCCCCCAGATCATAGGCCAGACAGAAAACCTGCCACCTGACGATGAGACTGTCCTTTCAGTTGCCATGCAAGTGCCAAATCAGCAGATAGAGCCACGCGAGGTTTTAAATTTTGTATAAATTACCACAGTATTTCTCCCTCTCAGGCAGACTTCCCAAGAACCCGGGCAGGTGACCGACCGGAGGGGCATCAGACCGGGCAGCTGCCGACAAAGTGCACCCACCTACCGCTTCGCACTTTTCCTAATCTCTGAGCAACTTGCAGTTTAGCAGTGGTTTAATCGCGGCAGCGTGCGCGATAGCTTCAAGTCCCTCTTTTTCCCTACTACTTCGTCTCCCCACGAAGCAAGGAAACCTGCCACCCTGGAGCCCTGCTCCGTCCCCTTCCCGGCTGAGGCAGCC